CTGGATCTGGTGGCTTCGGACCAGGTGGTGCTGGAACTGGTGGCTTCGGTCCAGGTGGTACTGGCACTGGACCAGGTGGCTTTGGACCAGGTGGAGCTGGAACTGGGATAGGTGGCTTCGGACCAGGTGGTACTGGAACTGGGCCTGGTGGCTTTGGACCTGGGGGTGCTGGAACTGGGCCTGGAGGAACTGGGACAGGACCTGCAGGTAACTACTGTGGCAGCAAAAATGAAACATAACCCTTTTGATTCAACAAATTCTAACAAAAATTCTAATCAAACAAAATAAAAAACAACGTATAAATATAGATAGATACATTTATAATTAATATGTGTGATGTAAATGTTTTGCAGGGTATGATGCCAATGCAAAAGCTCGTAAATATGGTAAGATGTGTTCATGTTTTATAGTTTTGTTTTATATGCTTTACACTTAAAAATAATGATTTAATCTTACCAGGGATGTTAAGCGGAGCACTTGGTGGTGGAGGTGGAGTGGGACCAGGTGGTACTGGCACTGGTGTTGGACCAGGTAGAGCTGGATCTGCTGGAACTGGTACAGGTTATGGACCAGGTGGTGTTGGCACTGGCTTTGGATCAGGTGGTGCAGGAACTGGCTTTGGACCAGGTGGTGCTGGCACTGGCTTTGGATCAGGTGGTGCTGGAACTGGTTTTGGACCAGGTGGTTCTGGTACTGGCTTTGTACCAGGTGGTACCGGAACCGGCTATGGACCAAGTGGTGCAGGAACTGGCTTTGGACCTGGTGGTGCAGGAACTGGGCCTGGTGGCTTTGGACCTGGGGGTGCTGGAACTGGGCCTGGAGGAACTGGGACAGGACCTGCAGGTAACTACTGTGGCAGCAAAAATGAAACATAACCCTTTTGATTCAACAAATTCTAACAAAAATTCTAATCAAACAAAATAAAAAACAACGTATAAATATAGATAGATACATTTATAATTAATATGTGTGATATAAATGTTTTGCAGGGTATGATGCCAATGCAAAAGCTCGTAAATATGGTAAGATGTGTTCATGTTTTATAGTTTTGTTTTATATGCTTTACACTTAAAAATAATGATTTAATCTTACCAGGGATGTTAAGCGGAGCACTTGGTGGTGGAGGTGGAGTGGGACCAGGTGGTACTGGCACTGGTGTTGGACCAGGTAGAGCTGGATCTGCTGGAACTGGTACAGGTTATGGACCAGGTGGTGTTGGCACTGGTTTCGGACCAGGTGGTACAGGCACTGGCTTTGGACCAGGTGGAGTCCGACCAAGTACAACTGGGACTGGGTTTGGACCAGGAGGTGCTGGGACTGGCTTTGGACCAGGTGGAATTGGCCCAGGAGGTGCTGGGACTGGCTTTGGACCAGGTGGAATTGGCCCAGGAGGTGCTGGGACTAGAGTTGGACCAGGTGGAGTTGGCCCAGGAGGAGCTGGGACTGGCTTTGGACCAGGTGGAATTGGCCCAGGAGGAGCTGGTACTGGCTATGGACCTGGAGGTAGGATGTAATTAAGATGAAGATAATGATAACTTGGCTAATGATAGCCTTTAATAAACACGTTTACATTTCACAGGTTATGCTGCTGCAAAAGCTCGTAAATATGGTAAGAAACGTTTTAAGTGATACATTTGGTTTTACCTTTTTCATAGGGAGTCATAAACACAATAATTCAATAATTATTTAATTTAATATTTATTTGAATATATTATTATTAATAATATTTAAAGCAGAAGTATTAAGTTATGTATCTCTTAAAATTCTGCAGGTCTACCAGGAGGTGCAGGAGGCGCCCTAGGAGCGGGAGGACTGGGGGCAGGAGGAGGGATCCCAGGAAGAGGTGTTGGACTTGGGACTAGTGGTGGACCTGGAGCAGGACAAGGGACTGGAGGAATACCTGGTTCTGGTGTCATAGCAGGAGGTGGACCAGGTGGATTTGGACCAGGTAGATTTGGACCAGGTGTCGGTGGAGGTACAGAAAAATAAAAAATGGAAACGTAAAGAAAATCTTTCCACAATTGTATGTCAAACATTTATTTAACCACAGTCACTGGTCATATTGTAATACACCTATGTAATTGCACAGTGACCCCTGGGGGTGATAAATTAAAGAGTTTGATCTTATTTTATCTTAATCCTTCTTATTATTTAATTATTATGAAATATTTTAGAATAATACCTAAATAGAAAGAACATTTGCCATAGATAGACTTGTTTAAAGGCTTTATCAGCCCCATGTTGACATCCACACCTGTCAATAGGAGGCTTCGGTCCTGGAACTGGAGGAACAGGCTATGGACCTGGTGGATATGGACCTTTACCTGGTGCTGGTTATGGTACTGGTGGAGGCTACGGTGCGTGACAAAGAACTTATAAATAATGAAACAGGATATTATCTAAATAAAAAAATAAATAAAACAATGCTTAATGTTTTTGTTTTTTAACAATTTTATACGTAGGCTATGGACCCGGGTCACAACCTGCCAAATATGGTAAGTTTTAACTTTATGGCCCATAAAATCGAGTGGCATTACAATAAACTGGTATTACAGACAACATTTGTTTAGTCAGTACTGTTTTATGACGTGATGTTTTACTATTCCTTTGTTGACCTCTGTTGGCTGTTAGTGGAACTGCAGCATAAGGGCAGCAGAATTTTCATAGTTAGGTACTGTACATAGTTCCAGTAGTACCTGTGCTGCCTTACAAACACATAACATTTTGCCCTATTTCAAAATGTTTTTGTCAAATTCGCATTTTTTTCTCTGTTTTCTCTGATAATTTACTTTTATCTTCAGGGTATGGCAAAACTGCATCAAAAGCTGAGAAGTATGGTAAGGATGTGTTTTTTTAAATAATGGAAATGTCATGTTTCTTCCTGTATTGTTAAGCAATCCACAGATCACCCTGAATTTATAAATTGCAGGGCAACAACCTGGTGGAGTTCTACCTGGGGTATTACCTGGTACAACTACACAAATAGCAGGTACTGGGCCTGGCACTGGAGTTTCAGGAAATGCAACAAGCACTGGGGCTCGTGCAGGGACAGGAGGTGGATCTACCGGTACAATGCTGTCCAAGTATTTGAAGAAAAAAAAAACTGTGATTTTTTGAATTGAATAATATATGTGTAATAATTTCTTACCTGGAGCAGGGCCTAGAGGTGCAGGACCTACTAGAGGGACACTATCCCCAACACCAGAAGGTATCTGTTGACTGACACAGAATGTAAGAATAGAAATAGCATATTACTGTTTGGTTTGAATTCAGTTTGGATCCTACAGCACACACACACACACACACACAGTGTTTAAATTACATTCTTCTCCTGTTTTGGGGTCTAGATACTTTGTTTACTCCCTAAGTTTTACTATTTGAACCAGGCGGGTGCATCTTGTTCTTCTGATTAATTGATGCTGATGCTGTAGCTAATAGGACTGGACAACAAAACTTCACTGAAAAAGACAAATAATTAGTAATGAAGCAGTAACTCATACTGTACATATTTCCTTATAAAGACATGTACTTACATAGTGCCATTAATTTCTCAATTATAATAATAATGTGCTCTTACAGGTGGTGTAATAGAAGGATCAGGGAGCACTGGAGGAGATGGTGTGTTCCCTTATTTACATTGAAATCCTCTACATATTTGGAGATTACACTGCCACACTGACATATTCATGTAAAAAAATTGGATGTTTGCAGGAGGTGTAGCTGGCAGACCAGTTGGAGCAGGTGATGGCGATACCTTGAGTGGAACAGGAATACCTATAATTGGAGCAAGACCAGGTGGATGAACGTTTGTCTTCATGTCTGTTTTCTTTATTGTTTTACTTTTACATGTGATTAATCTCCAGTCTATCTCTACACAGGCATCAATGGAACCGGCTCTCTAGGTAATTGTTCTTTTCACAGCCAGAACTGCTGCATGTTGTTGCCGTTAGAGTTTAAAACAGTTTTCTCAGTTATCACATTCTAGCAACAATACTAAAGTTTTACTGTCACACCCAGCAGGTTCTGCAGGACCAGACTCTGGTGAGTTCAAATACGGTGTTTCTATTGAGGTTAAACCTTGATATTTAGAAATAGTATAATTACTTCACAACGGCATAGACCTGATCTGAACAGAAATGTTGCTTTTATTTTTTTAAATTGCTTATGCATGTTTAGTTTACCAGCTCACCAGCACAGAACTGCCACACCAGGCTTTACATCAATGCATTTCCTGAGATTAAATGCTAAACAGCAATACGATGACAAATATACTGTACATAAAAAAAAGGCACATCTGAAGCAAAACTTTTTTCTTTTACAGTTATAGGTGGAACTGTGAGAACTAGTGGTAGGTAAACCACCAGGTTTTATCTTTTGTGATATGTTGTAATATCACTGTTTTGTTTAGTGCAGTGTGGTTTCTTTTTTTAGGTTCTGGTGACGAACTCACAAGTGGGTCACTGCCTGGAGCCAAACCTCTCAAACCTCCAGGTATAGTGAACATTGTACAAATATGTATAATATGTATGACATCTCTATAGGCATCCATAGGCATGGCTTCTCTCAATCTGGAGGAAAAATAACCCAACATTTTCAGGTATTAAGCCTGTATCCAAACTGTGAGGCTTAGCCCAGACTTTTTAAATGAATCTCAGCCATACAACTTAGATTTGGGATTGTATCTTAGTCATAACCTATAATGTCATAATCAGAGGTGAGGGTGGAAACTGAAATAAAAGGAAACTTGTCCTGTTACTACAGAAACCTCCAACCTCACTCCCAGAAGCACTCTACTCCCAAATGTGGTGAACATAATCAAAAAATAAAGCAAAACATGCACCGCTAATCACATAGTAATGAAATTATTTTCTTCCTCTCCTCTGTCTAACTTTACCTGTTAAATTCTTCTTAGAAACTTTTCCGAGGAGGCTGACAACAGAATCCAGTTGTATTAGGAGGAAGCTGTTCGACTTCCCTCTGGTCACCTGGTTTAAATTCTTCCACGTGTTTCTGTGTCATCTCTGCAGGTGTCCCCAGAGGTGACACACCAGGTGAAGGAGATGGAGAGGATGGCCCTGATGGGGAAAGGGACGGTACAAGAAGCACAAGCAGTGGCGGAGAACAGAAAGACACACTTACTGCTGGAACTGGACTAGGTACTGCAATCGGTACAAGTGGAGGAACACCACAACCAGGCACAGGTATCATTTTTGAAT